TTTTGCTTGCGTGATCTTCCACGGGAAAACATTGATCTGTTCATTTTCTTATCGTATACTTTGATACACTACAATATAATAATCAATAAAAATCTATAAAAATCTGAAAACTGCGGTCGTATAGAACACCATCCTTTATAAACTTCTCCTCGTTACGCTGACGATAACTAGATCTAAAGGTTGGGGTAGGATCTGTTTCTCTGGTTTTAGGACCTGTCTGCAACAATAGCACTTAGACACTTTTTTATCAAGAAACTTCAAGAGTCCAAGTGAAAGTGCCAAATGCTGGTACAGGCTTAGCTGGTTTCGGGTGAGTGGCTGAAGTATTGGGGAATCTACTTGCAACAGTTTGGCTGTCTGCTGAGTTTCGCTTGTTGTTAGCAGAACCCTTTCTTCGCTTTGTCCCGTAAAACATTTATGAACAAACCTGATTGTTTTGCACTAATAGACAATCCGTTGTCACGGATGTCTTGCCACGTGCATCAAATTTCCTCGAAATTTTCTTTTCTTTATTCGTCTTCGAACATGTAGCAAAATGTAAGAGGGGAAACTTTAAGAATAAAAATTCAAAAATGAAAAGTTCTTTTAAACTGACCTTGTGAAAACACCTTGCCACGCGCATCAAATTTCTTTTACTTAACATTTTCCTTTCATCATTATTTTGATTTTCTCTTGTGTGTAGACGCATGGGCAGATTGAAATTTTTTACCCTCAACAATTTCTCTAAATCTCGATAACCCTGGACATTTTTCTCACCCCCGACTTCTACATTCGACATTTTTCATCACCCTCGACTTTACGTTGGCCTATATCACAGTTATATCAAGATGGCATATTTGTATGGCCAAGTAGACAGCGCGGGACAGCAATTGAAACATCTCTCGTATATAGTAAAGGCCCTACTTTAATCAAATTTAATTTATTCATTAACCAAGCTGTGACAAGTGCAAAATTTTACTTGATATGATGCCGCAACGCCGCGAGATTTTTTCATTTTTTAGAAAGTAAATAAGCATCAAATAACTAGAGGTTTTAAAAGATATATGCATATGGGCCAAATAACTCAATATGTTACACCATCTAAACTGCGCTAACATGACACGAAACTTAAACGCTCCGCACACTAAAACCACGCAATGCACTTGATTCAATGAAATATGTAAGGCAACGTTGTGTTATAGCAAATATGGTACCAAATATGGAACTTTTTGTTAGTTTTATATCAGACCGAGGTCTGATATTTTTCAAGTACGGACCGAACGTATTCGGTTAAGAAGGGATTTATTAAATGGCATACAGTATTTAGTTTATTGATTTATACAACGCGCTGCAGCATTCTTGCCGGCTCTTTCGCCAGCCAGTCGCCAAGCAAGCACTGAAGTGGCTTCCAAAACTTTATTTTTTACTCGTTAAATAAGAATGATACAGTAATATAAACAAAAATCAAAGATGAATAAATATAATATTCACATGTACCAAATAATGTTTTTCTTCGTCCATTCTCCGTCGATATTTTTCGTGTCCTAAATAAAAGTGCAAGCTTGTTTTGTTCAAAAATATGAGAGTTGGACCGTTACTACGGCAAACGTAGACCGGCAAAGAACCAATCAGCGCACGCCATTTTAGTCACGAGACCACGTGCCATAATAAAAAGCAATACCAGCACGTATCATACGTAGTACCTTGACAAGCTTTTAGATGAAAGCAGGGTAAGAATATTGTATCCACAGGATTTTTGTTGCAAAGAACGCACACTTTGACAGCTGTGTATTTCATCCGCCCAACAGCATTCTCCTGGAAAGTCGGATAGGAAATTATTAGATTTGCGATCATTACAAGTTCTTTGACTAAAAGCCGAGTTTAGTTAACTTTAGTTATAGTCATATAAGGTACTAACCTTGCAAAATGGGCAACGTGTAAGACGCGATTGCTACAGGTATAGCAGGTAGCTTGATGACCAAAAGGGTAGAATAACCTTTTCAACAAACTCGACCTCGCAAACACTTCTCCATGGAGAATTGATGCGGAACCACGTGTGCCTGACCAAAAACCAACTTGACTAACAAGTTTCACTAAATAATAATCGCGCTCCGCACTCGCATGTGCAGGTAACAATGGCGGCGCACAGTCTGATTCAAACTGCCGAAAAGAACATTGCTTAAAGGCAATAAATAATTTCTGTTTCACAACTAAGTAATATTGACCAATCAGAAACGGCTAAAGTTGTTGCATTTGTAATATGGTGCTTGAAACATATGGTACAACACATGCCACACCTTAAATTATTGTCAGTAGAAAATGTCTGTGTTTAGCGGGATAGAAGAATAATTTCCTGCTGTTACTTTGTGTCAAATATACCCATGGATGGCGGAAGAAACATTTGAAGAATCCGAAGATGTATTATGCGCGATTGCAGAAAATATAAGAATTTACCTTCAATATTCACGTTTTCAAACGACTTGTTAAGTTCTTCAACCATTTAATACTGTAATGCTGTTCTTATTCAAGGTATCAAAGATTATCAACAATGCAAATTTCACTTTTCGACACAAATTTCACTTTTCGAAACATTTTCTGCCAGGCGCGTTCTCCCCCACGCTGTCGCTTCGTGCGTGTCCTCCCGCGAGACAAACATTACTACGCGATTAATATTGATAAAACACCGATCAATAAAACACGCGCCGGGGACGAGGCTGGTCGAAATACGACCGTAAACTTGTGTCTGGTTTTAAACCTCAGATCTCGGGTTTCCAAGATCTTTTCTGCTGGTATTATAATGGTTTTAATGGTTTGTTTAATTGTGAGAAACTAGCTCTATCAACGTCAAGGACAACTAGTATTAATTCGGCGCGCATGAAAGAATAATTTCATGCCTGTGGTGATTATGTATATATTGCAGTGAAAGTGTCTATTGCTTAATTTCTGAATTGCGCTCTAATTCTGATAGATAATAGAAAACAAAAAGTGTCTATGTGCTATGGTTGCAGACAAGTTCTAAAACCAGAGAAAGAGATCCCGCCCGAACCTTTAGATCTAGTTATCGTCAGTGTAGCGAGAAGAAGTTTTATGGAGGATGACATTGGTAACGGCTTCAATGATAATTCCGAATTGAATAATTGGATAATTTTGAGTCCAGTTTAGAATCCGTGTTTTTTCAATTTTGAGTCCGGGTTTTCTGAACTTAAGTCCGGTTACGAGTCCGGATTTTTATCGGGTCCGGGTTTTCTTTCAGTCCGACTCCGGTCCGGATTTCGAAGTATGCCTTTTTATTTATATATATACGGAGGGAAATTTACTGTATTTACGGATCCTTAATGATTCAATTGCTCTTGAGAGACATACTATCATTACTATGAGCTAAAATCAGACACAACTGATGCAAATTCTTTGTGTGGGAGAATGGGTCATGGGGGTGAAGTACTCCGGATTAACATACTGTACTGTTGTACATCCTAAAAGACTCATTAAGGCCTTATGCTTTCCTCCTGTGGGGGATCTATAAGCCCCACTAGGAGAGACTGAATGCCCTATAGGGGTGATAATCCCCCATCTAACATCAACCTGAAGTCCTGAACCACGAAGTCATAATCCCCTTAGCCAGTCCCTACGATTCGACTGAATATATATATGCATTGGAAATCCAGAAACATACAGGCAGTTTGATGAATGGATGCTTTGGAAGAACGATTTGCATATAACATTGCCTTTCAAAGTAGTCTATTTGGTATCACGGGATATTTTGTGTATATAAATAGGGGATAGATTATTTGATATGTTATTAGTCCACTGAAGAAGCCTTAACTGGCGAAACGTCTGGAGTCTTTTTAAGTGTATATTAAAGAATTTTAACTGTTCCTGTAGAAGTTTCCTTTTGTTTTTTTTTCATACCTATCCAGGCAAGTATATATAATTATATATATATATAATATATATATATATATATATATATATAATATATATATAATATATATACATATATATATTATATATAATATATATATATAATATATAATATAATATATATATATATATATATATATATATATATATATATAGAGAGAGAGAGAGAGAGAGAGAGAGAGAGATTTCTTAATGGGAAGTGCTGACGTATGGTATTTTCGCACGCGTTAATTTGTTTTCACAAAGCGAACGAGCGAGTGTAACGAGCGAGTGAGCTTTGTGAAAACAAATTAACAAGTACGAAAATACCATACGTCAGCACTTCCCATTACTAAATTTGTTTATTTTATAGATATCGAGGTTTTTTAAAACACTACAAAAATTTTTTAATTTATTCTTGGTAATTGTAAATCACTCAGTCTGAGTACATCTGAGTAGTCTGAGTAAAACTGCAACTTTTAACAATTAATACAACAGCCTTATAATTCCAATCTTCCGTGAATTATAGGTATTAAATAACACGAATAACGAGCTCAAGATTGTTTCAAAAACAGAGGAAAATAATACATAAACATAAGCGTAATTTCAATCTAAATAAACAGGGGGACTGTCTTCATCTGACGAGTCTAAAAGTTTTATTCGCTTAAAAGAACGTTTCGTTGTCGATACTGTTGTGGGTGATTTGTTTACAGTATTTATGTTAATACTAAATTGTCCACCGTGAATTACTGCTCCAGCAAAGAGGCCTTTAGCCGCTGTCATTGGGTCATTAAGTGTGGATTCCGCGTGAGTACTGCTAAACGCCATTGTTTCACGTTGCCTTTGGGCCGTTAACATGCGTTGGTCATTTTGGTTCTGACTCACATGTTCAAAGGCATTTCTCTCCGAGCTCGAGCTCAAGATGTTGGACATAGTTTTCTGTTGTTGTTCTGAAATGTGACTGTAATTGTTGATACTTTGAATGTTTTTGTGACCAGAAAGCTGCATAATGTGAGTAGGAGGAACGTCGTTGTCGTTTAACTTCTGCACCATTTTCTTGCGGGCGCTGTGATTTGTCAATCGCTGGGAGTCGAACCCGGCTTTTGTTGCCATATTCTTCATCAAACTATTGAGTTTGTTAACCCCATAGCATTTGTTTTGAACCAGCTTTTACCGGATGAAGGATTTTTAATATGATTAATTCCAAGGTAGAAAGGCGCTTCGGGTTTATTCATAGCGTCTGGTCTTTTATGGCAATACGTTTTGTAAATTTCCACTGGATCTCTGTCACGCGAACCGTTCGGAACTGCGAATGCTTTTGGTTTGACAGCTCTTATGTTACGAGGTTCTGCACCAGTTCTTGTCTTTGTCTGGCGCTCCGAGTATTCCAAATACTCAGTTCCATCGGCTGCTGTGATAAGCTTAACGTCTCCCCAACACATTTGTCGGTGCTCGTCGCAACCTCGAAGACCAAAATGCAGCGAGTTGAATAACCAAAGTGTATTTAGAAGCGCTTCGTTATTTGACAGTCCAAGAAGATTCTTTTCATAAAGAATGTTTATCTGGTCATCCGTCAAGGCTTCAGCTGCATTTGGCTTGTTGCCTTTGCCTTTTTTCTTGAGTTGTTTACTTCTAGCTTGAAGACATTTTCGTGTCTTCTCAAATGCAAGATCTTCGACAATATTCGCAGTATATTTATGCTCTTTCAAATAGCGATGAAAACTCGATAGGAAGCCACGAAGGCTCGACGGTTCGTATTCTTCACCGTCTTTTTTTTTGACACTCAAAATGAACTCAGAGAGATAGTCATTTAGTTCTTCGACTTGCAGTTCTTCGGGATTTCGCAGTTCGTCTTTCTGTCTCAAAAACTCAACAAGCAAATTTACGTCTCTTTTTGTTTTAGCACGAGTGTTTTTGTTTTCTTGATCAATAATATATTCATCGATTGTTTTTTCTAGTGTTGAGAATCTTTCCCCAGCTATAGACATTGTCAAACTTAACTTGCAATCTAAACTTAAGTAAACTTATAACGCCAAGAAAATTCAAAATAACAAACCGGCAAACTCCTTGCCGTTCTGAATTTGCTCGTACAAAAATATAGGGTCACTCTGATTGGTTGAAACGTTTTTCGCACGTGTGGAAAATTCGTTTCACGTTTCTGATTCGCTAGTGTTCGTTTAGAACAAATCTTGAAATAATTCTTCACTCCGGTAATTTTATTCGAAAATCTCGGCATCTATATAATAAATATATTACACCCATTTGCAAAAACGTTGGCCCCAGATAGATAGATAGATACTCGAAGTCTAATTAGAATTGCATATGATTAAATTTGCATGGGTTTCAATCATATTACACTGCATATGCAATTCTAATTAGATTTCGGGTATCTATCTATATATCTATCTGCGGCCAACGTTTTTGGAAACGGGTATATATATATATATATATATATATATATATATTATATATTAATATATAATATATATATATATATATATATATATATTTATATATATATGTTTTGGTTGGGTTGTATCTTGAAATGAATTATTTCAATATCTATCATTGTTGTGATAAACTGATCTTCAAGCTACGCGTATACTACACAAAAAAAGGCCCCGGTTGTATCAAGCCCGTTTTGCTTAAACGGTGGATAAGTCAAAATTAAATAACATTCTTACATCTCTCTTGAATGAGTCAACTTGAATATTATGCACTGAATTTATTTTAAATTTGAAGCTATTTTAAATAAATATATAAAAAATTCACTTTTCCAGATGGATGATATCGAAACCCCCACACTCCGCTATAATTATGTACGGTTCTGAGAGGAGAGCTGGCGATAAAAACGATGAAGCAAGAAGGAGGAGTAAGGGGATAAGGTAGAGTGAGCAGGTGCATTGGGAAGGCAAGGAAAAAGGGAGCTTAAAAAAATTCCAGCTGGTGCAAAAAGTTACCAGGCGCCAGGCGGCAAGAGAGCAAGTGATGGAGGGAAGAAGAAAGGCAGAAACAAAAGCAAAGAGGGGGTTCGGTTTCTCATAACCTACCTCGCCCAATCCGGCGCAAAAATTGGGGAATTCGTGCTGAAGTTTTTCGTCCCTGTCCGCGGCATCAAAAATCATAGTCCCGCACTAGTTTAACTTAAAGAAATATAACATTAACAATAGTTTAGGAGACAAAATGTAATCAAGCGAATGTTATTTAACAGTTCCCACTGTAGCTTTCGTCTGAACAGAATTTGAATAGCAACGATAATCCAAACGAAACTACTAAATAGACGTGTGCGTGGATAACAAAACGAACTCGACAGACGATTCTGATAGCAATGTTCTGAGGATTTAATATAAATCAACGATACTACTGGTATAGACTGACAAACACGAACTCGTCGTTGGGATAACACAGTCGAGCTAGAAACGATTGTCCGTAGATAATACGACTCGGGAAACGGACTGTAGATCGATTGAGAATCGACTGGAAATCGATTGAGAATCGACTGCATGGATATCGGTTCGAATTTGGTTTGCGCACGCACCAAACCTTTATAGAAAAATAGCGTAGATCGAGTATGTAGATTTCTAGAGTACCAACGTGAATAGATATTAATACGCCAATTATTTAATAAAGGCACCAACGACAGTTGCTTACTCACAAGCAGGTCCACGTTAAACACTGACTTAAGTTTGCTTGAGTCTCCTATATTTATGCAGAGCTATACCGGAACGGGCAATGGATCTAGAAATGTTGTTTTGCGCAACGGACATTGCTAGGTTAGGCTGGGAGACAGCATTGCGCATTTGCTGACTAAACTTACGCATTTTGGTTTAGCGGTTGTGGCTGCGGAAAATAACAAGGTTGTTTTTCCCAATACAATATTAGAAAACATCCGTGGGTTAGTCTCTTCCGTTTCGAAACCAACATTCCGGCCCCTTAAAGGCGTTAAATTAGCCTTTACAAATACGTACATGGGTTCGAAACAATTGATAATAATCATTAACTATATAAAAGCATCACCGTCCGTGTGATCTACGTTAAACTTAATTGACGCATGCGCTAGGTATTTTAAGGTTCACTTATCGTTCACTGTATCTGCCTCGGATTCCAGGAATATGATCTTGTCCACGGGTCGCACAAACACAGATGTGCTGGTCTTTACCTTCACCGAACGTACCAGTCCGTCTTTCCGGTTTTTGTAAACTTCTAGTATACGTCCAAGAGGCCATGAGCATCGCGGCGTCTTTTCGTCCATGATCAAAACGACATCGTCAACGGCCAGATTTCGTCTCTGTTTGTTCCATTTCTGTCGCTCTTGTAGTGAGGGTAGATATTCCCGTATCCATCGCCTCCAGAAAACATTTGCGAGATGTTGCACTTGTCGCCAACGTCGTCTATCATAGCTATCATCCTTGGAAAAAACGCCTGGTGGAACCTTCGTACCACTTCGCAAAAGTAACAGGTGGTTAGGGGTTAAGGGTTCTAGGTCAAGAGAATGAATTTGGTCTTTGTAGTATTTATTGAAAGTTTATTGACATTTACCCAATCTGTAATTTTGTTCATTTCAATTTGAATAATTTCATTTAAAGTTTCAAGACAGGAATGACTAAATAATATGTTTGTGTCATCTGCAAATAATATAATTGAAATCAGTTCACTGCAATTTTGGATATCATTTATATATAAAAGAAATAATAAAGGACCTAACACTGATCCCTGAGGTACACCACTTGTGATAGTCATTTCTTCTGACTGTATCCCATTATATTTTACAATTTGCTTTCTATTATATAGATAATTTTCAAACCATTTTTTTGCAACTCCCCTTATGCCATAGTGCTCGAGTTTGCTTATCAGAATCTTGTGATTAATTGTATCAAAAGCCTTTGACAAATCAAGGAAAATACCAACAGTGAATTTTCCTTGGTCAATAGCCTTGGTAATTTTGTCAACGAAGTCAAGTATTGCTAGTTCTGTTGATCTGTTTTTTCTAAAACCGTACTGATGTTTTGATAAAATATTGTTCTTATCAATGTATTTTGTTAATCTCTGAGTCATAAGCTTTTCTAGTAATTTTGAAAAACAGTTTAGTACAGATATTGGTCGATAATTTTCAAATTTTTTTTCGTCATTACCTTTGAATATTGGTGTAACTATGGCGACCTTTAAGCTGTCTGGAATGGTTCCATTTGAAAATGTTAGGTTAAATATGTGCGCTAATGGCTTAGAAATTTCTTTAGCAATTATTTTGACAATTTTAGTACTAATACCATCATATCCAAAACTCTTATTTACCTTCAGGTTTTTCATTTCAGTTTCAAGCTCATGTTCTGTGATAGGACTGAGGAAGAGACTAGATTGATAATTACCTGAAAAATACTTATCAAAGCTATTATTTTCATTCTGTTTTATTTTCTTTGCTAAATTGGGTCCGATGTTAATAAAGTAGTCATTGAATTTGTTAGCTATCTCTTTTGGATCATCAATTATATTTGATGTGCAGGTTTCAACAAAACGTTTTGATATCATGGTATTTTGTTTAGGTTTATTAAGTACTTCATTAAGGATTTTCGAAAATTTTTTTGAATTTTGTTTATGTTTTATTAACTCTCCTTCGTAATATGTCTTTTTTGCTATTTTTATGATATGATTTAGTTTATTTTTATATTTGTTGTATATTTGCTTATTTTTATCGTTTGGATTTATGAGAAAAGATTTATATAACTTATGCTTCTTTCTAACAGATTTTAATATACAGTTGGTTATCCATGGGCTTTTGTTTTTATTTATCTTTCCATTGTTTTTTCTTTTTTTTAATGGGAAATTTGCATCATATAATTCCATGAACAATTTTAAGAACTTATTATAGGCTATTTCTGGGTCGTTTGTTTTACTTAATATTTCATTCCAGGAAATACCTTTAATAGCGTCTGTAAACGTTTCTATGTTAGCTTTTTTGAATATTCTTTGATATGTAGTATTATTAACATTACCCCTATTATTATGTTAGGCAACTCTTCATTAGTTCTTGTGCAGCACCAGACGTGTGCTGGATCAGGTAATACAGTCGAGCTCGAGCACTTGAACTTGTAGTTTTAGCCTCGATAAGATGCTCGAAAGAACGGATAAAATCACAATAATCTATGGGGTTACCGCTGAATACTTGCATGCTTGGTTGAGGAAGGGTTAGGGCTTTAACTCCCTGCTGTTGCTGTTGTATAAGTAGTTGAAGGGCATGACTCTGTTGATCTTGCACTTCGACCAGTTTCTTAAAGGACTCTTCGTGGAAGTTATTCAAAGTACTGTTTGCCGAAACAGGTGTGGAGTTTGACATCGAGAGTTTAGGTGGAGCTGGGGTCGTATTAAGTTCATTGTGTTCAACTTTGGCTGTTGTTACTTCAGGTTCGAGTTTTCTCGCTTGTAAGTTTCTAACTTGAGAGGGTAAACTTCCACTTCGTGTTTCGGATTCGGCCTTCTCGTAGACTTCTCTTTCAGCCTCGGCTGCTGCAATCTCCCCACGTAACTGAAGCTGTTTCCTCCGTTGCTGAAGAGCAAGCTCTTCCATTTCGATTTGCTGCAAACGTTCGAGAAGTTCTACTTCGACTTGTAGGGCAGCCCTTTTAGCAGCAGCTCTTGCTCTCGCGCTGGTTACGCTTGTCTTCGACCCACAAGTTGAGCGCGTACGATACGAAGCACGGGATCCCACTTGACTTATCGAGTCTTCTGGTTGAATATTCACGAGTTCAGAGTCGGATTGACGCTTGAAGGATTTTTCTATCTCTTGAGCTATTTCAGCAAGCCATATGCCTGTCTCGTGTTCGAAATCCCTCGCAATTCTTTCGACAGAAAGACGGTAATCATGTGGTTCACGCAAGTCGACATCAGATTCTAACTGACTATGGTAGGCCTCGTGTACGTCTTTGAACGCTTTTAGTTCATCGTGCAGTTCTCCTAATTGATCCTTGACAACAGCTAAGTTATCTTGGTTTCG